CTTCCTGGAATCAGCCGCTGATCAGTTTCAGCAGCAGCTGACTTGGGGACGCTTGAGGTTCTTAAGTTGAATCTGTATGTAAGTTAGAACTGGCGTCCAGATTCAGCCACGGTTGAAACTGATCAGTTTCAGCAGCGGCTGACGCCAGTTCCGACTTACATACAGATTCAACTTAAGAACAAACCTACAGTCCCTATCTTGTACGTAACCCGGGGACTGCCTGTAACTAGAAACAGTTTACATCAAAATGGCTATCACTTCTTTGCAACGTTTCAAACCCAAGTATTCCAGCATACTGCTAATGTACAGTATGAATCTCAAACATGAAATTGTGTATATATTGTATACAAAGTTAGTTGAACAGTATAGTGCAGTCATCTAAGCTGATAGGAATGTATATGTGTTTTAAAAAATATTTGATATATGTTAGAAATGAGTTGTGGTAAGGCTGAATGTAATCACACACAAAAATGTTTGGAATAGAATGATTTTAACTTACAAATGCAAATTGGTTTTCTCCGTAGTTAGTTTGTTCCTGTTACTTTTTAGCCCGTTACAACCACAAGTGGCGCCTGGCCGATTGAGACCGATTGTTAGCTATCGTACCTGTTCAGCTCAGCATGTCCTAAAATAAAGAATAGAACAGAAAAAATGTATGGCGTTTTGTAGATAAGCAAATAATTTTTAATAAAGAATTTTAAGATTGCAAAATGCTTTGTAATTATGTTGCTGCATGTTCATGTCAAAAGCAAATATTCCTGAATTTTCTCTAGTAGGTGGCGAACAGCAGTAAACTATGTAAAATTCCTTAAAAAATTTTTAAAGTGAAGTTAAAGTCAATGGTATGTGTCAATTTAAATGTAAAAATTCTTAAAAGAACATTGTATAGAAATAGGCAAATTAAAGTCAGACTAATTCTAAATTTAAATTTGGTGTACAAGAAGATATAACATTTGTAAGTCTGGACATTCACTTCTATGGCAGACAAATTACCTTACCCCCCCCCCCCCCCCCCCCAGCAATGCTATGCTGCTGTAGCCCCATGTTTGTTGTTGAAATATCAAACACATGTACCATTTTTTCTTACATTTTCTCTACAATATATCTAAAAGTTGGACTTTCTATGTTTGAGTGAGTTCCTCTATCTTTAGGGTGCCATAATTCAGGAATACTTTTCTAATTTTGTAATATGATTTCTTCCGTGTTTCCAGACTTCGCTTACCAATTCTGGGGTTGATATGATTTTTTTGTGTGTGGATTTTGGAGCCAAGGCTAAATTGAGTGTCTAATGGATATTTTCTTGCACCATTAAGTATGAAGTGGCTACCTTCCCTGCCTACCCAGCAACATTTCCTGATATCCTATTAATGCCCATCTTCCTGGCTGCTGAAAACTCTGAAATAGACTTCCCTCCCCTGGTTCTCTGGTAGAGACTCTTTCCTTTTCTGCTTCTTTTGGCTGAGGGCTATTCCTTCCATTTAGCCATTCTCAGACCCTGCTGCTTGATTTACAAAGGAAAGGAGCCCTCAGAGCTGTTTCTACCTACTGCAAGTGTGAGAGAAGAGGAACTCTGAGGCAACTTCCTGTAGTATCCCATGTAAATAGGAGAATGTCTGGTGTCTCCAAAATACCACAGTCTGTGTGTGTACAGAGTTTAACAACATGGACAATTTGTGACTCTTCTCAGACAAAGGGATGAAAATTCTTTTAGCATGTTCAGTAGTGAGGCAGATGGAGTGGTAATGTAACATGCTGCTGCTGGTGAATTTCTGAGGTCAATGCTGCAGGGTTTCACTTTAGGAAGGCCGCACCAAATTGTGTCCTGGTGATCCATGAATCTTGCTGTAGCTTACTGATGCGTACCAGGGAATTGTCACAACACTTTTGAAAAGCTGAAGCTTTTAACATATATGATGCAATTGCTTGTGCTTTAAAGGTTTGCATACCTATAAGTTTGCTTTTCCAGTTTGATGTCACACAATCTCATTCTGGACATGACCTGAACCAGGTGTTTCACATTTCTTTCAGGTCCTCCAGACACAGCTGGATACTCTGCTTGAAGGGCAAGAGAGTATTAAGAGTTGCAGCAACTTCACAGCCCAAGCACTCAACCATGGCACTGAAACAGAAGTTTTACTGGTTAAGAAGCAAATGAGTGACAAGCTAAATGAGTTGGCTGACCAGGACTTCCCACTGCAGCCCCGTGAAAATGACCAGCTTGACTTCATAGTGGAAACAGATGGACTGAAGAAATCCATTCACAACCTGGGTACGATTTTAACCACTAATGCTGTAGCATCCGAAACAGTTGCCACAGGAGAAGGACTGAAGCAAACTGTGATTGGACAGCCTATGTCTGTTACCATAACAACCAAGGACAAAGATGGAGAGCTCTGTAAATCTGGGAATGCTTACCTCACTGCTGAACTGAGCACACCTGATGGGAGTGTGGCAGATGGAGAAATACTTGACAATAAAAATGGAACTTATGAATTTTTATATACTGTTCAGAAAGAAGGGGACTTTACTCTCTCTCTGAGACTTTATGATCAGCATATCAGGGGCAGTCCATTTAAACTTAAAGTGATCAGATCAGCAGACGTGTCCCCTACTACTGAAGGAGTTAAGAGGCGTGTTAAGTCTCCTGGCAGTGGCCATGTGAAGCAGAAAGCTGTGAAAAGACCAGCTAGTATGTACAGCACTGGCAAAAGAAAAGAGAATCCCATTGAAGATGACTTGATCTTCAGAGTGGGTAAGGAAAGTATCTTCTGTTTGTTGATACTAGGGTCATAGCATTCAAATTATAATTAAAGACACTTTAAGAAATCTGGGTGAAAAGCTAGTTTTAAATTGTCAATACACAACTGAAATTTAAGTGATTAGATCTAGGCTTTTGACATTGTTAGGAGAACAGTAAATGAGGGTTTACATGGGATTTCATTCCATATGCCCTAAAAGAAAACGTCCCCAGAACTTTTGGTCTTGGAATTCCTACCCAATGCATTTATCTCTGACAACTGGAGAGAGAGAAGAAAGGATAGAAATGTTCCTGTGGGTAACATTTGCTGTTGCCTTTAGAACTTAATTTATTGGCTCTCGTGTACTATGAGGTGAAGACTATATTTAACAGATGCCAAACAAATAATCTGAAGTTTAGTGGCGTGTCCTAATTGGTGTAAGTGGGAGCTGAGGCTCAAAAGCAAGAGGCTACAGTCCTACAAGATAAAACAGGGACAGATTTATTGAGGTATCTTGGTGCTGAACTCCTAATGGCACCTAAATATCTTCAAAAATCTGGCCCTTAGAGTATAAAACTTTATTCCTGCCCCAGCTGTAATACAAAAAATGTATTTTTTTTCTACAGAAGAGTCTTTTTAGTTAATTATGGAATTGCCGGTCACAGCCAAGGTGAGGATTTTTTGTTTTGATTTTTTTGCATATAATGTAGAGAGTCAACTTTTTTTAGTACATGAAAGTGTACTTTTTTAGTACACTTGTTCTTTGGGTACTGAATACGTTTTCTGAGAATTTAGAATTGAATCTGTAAGCTCATTTGAGCTAAAGTGAATTAAAAATGGATTCTTAGATATTTAGTTTTCTGTGTTAGACCTCTCTTTCATCCCAAACGGTCAGATAATGCAGATTCCTCCTACTTCCCCAATAGCTAAAACTCCATGAATTCTTGTTCTTAGGCTGCACTCTAAGAAGTTTGTTCTTTTTGTTTGTTTGTTCAGTCTCTTCTTTGCTTGCTTGCTTCCATCCTTCCTTGTTCTCCATAAACGGGGCTGAGTAGAATCTTTTCCAGAAAATTTTGAATAGTTCCCTTCTTTTAAAATGGCTGTTATCTCCTATTGTTTTCAATAAAACTGGGTCCTAAATTGTTCTGTTTAGGTGCCCTCTCAAAAGATAGTCACTATGGCCACATCTATGCAGCAGGGCTAAAGCTGAAATAAACTATGCAATTTGAGCTACATCAACTACATTGCTTAAGCTGAAATAGCACCAAAAGTCAAAATAAGTTGTCTACACAGCAGGAAGTCCAAGAAAGAGCACTCTTCCTCCGACTTCCCTTATTTCTCGTAAAACAAAGGTTACAGTAGTTGTAAAAAGAAGTCCTCCGGCTCAACATTATTCCGAAATAACATAGTCTGCATCTACACTACAATCAGTTATTTTGACATAATGTTGAAATAATGTCAGTTATTCTGAAGTAACACTGCTGTGAAGACATAGCCTATCTTGTATCAAACAGGACCAAGACCATATGCTGTCTTTAGCAAAGGTAGCCACAGATTCCATTTGCCTTTTCCTCACAATGTTTCTTTCCACCACCTGACACCAAGAGAGGCTGTCATGTTCTGTGCAGGAAGTTTAACTCCCCAGCACCCTCCCCTACTGCGAACAACAGAAGGTAGTGTTTATTCTGAAGCAGGGCATATTCACTGAGTTCAGTCTTGGCTCTTGTTCCACTGAGAGATGGTTCCACAGTGAGATAAGGTAATCATTTTGAGAAGACAAATCTTTCTTCGTGAGTTTATCTGAAACAGAAGATTGCATTCTTCTGTCTGTAGTGATAAATTCATTTCAAGCTATAAAGAATGGCAACAATATCTTTGACCCCAATCCTTTTCACCCCCCAAGAAAAGCCTATGCATTGCATTAGGTCTTCAGGAGGGACAACAGCTTTGGATCTGAGAGGGTGAGAGGGAAGTGTGATGTGTGCGTCTGGGGAAACATGGGGCAGTAGAAACCCTCTTGTATATGAGCAGGGAAAATGGAATGCTAGAAGAAAGAGAAAACTGAGGTGTATGAACAGGAGAATATATGGTGCAAGAGATAGGAAAACTGTGTTGTATGTGGAGAGCTGGAAGGAGGAGAAAATTGATGTGTGCGCTGGCTGTTTTTATGCTGCTCCGGAACGGTGTTTTTAAGTACAGAGTGTACTGCTGAATTGGGCCCTAAAATTTAATAGTGATACCACAGATCTTCAGAACATTTGAAATAGCACATGATAATATTCTCTTTGGTTACGTCTACACTGCAGGCTTTTTGTGCAAGAATGTCCATTCTTGCGCAAAAACTTGCGGAGCGTCTACACTTCACGCGCGTTCTTGTGCACGTAAATTTACAGTAAGGCATCAGAACTGAGGGCTTCTTGCACAAGAGTTATTCCTCTCCCATGAGGAATAAGCCCTCTTGAGCAAGAGCTCTTGCGCAAGAAGGCTATGTGAACAGGAACAGGGGGTTCTTGCACAAGAAACCCCTAAGGCTTAAATGGCCATCAGAGCTTTCGTGTGCAAGAGAGCATCTACATGGCCATGGCCGCTCTTGCACAAAAGCACATGGCAGTGGATGCGCTGTTGCACAAGAACTTTTGCGCAAAAAGCTCTTGAGCGAGAAGCCTGCAGTGTAGATGTAGCCTTTGGGTTTTTTGTTAATTATTAATGTATGAAAATGTTAATACAGGTTGGATCTTGCTGGTTTGGCACCTGGGGATCTGACTGGTCCCGAACGAGGGGATTTTCTGGACCAGGGAAGGTCTCTCCTCTCCTGACCCAAATTGTGCCTGGGTTAAGGTGCCAGCCTGCTCCCACTTCTGCTCCAGCTCCCCAGGGCTCTCTAAACGCCACTGGTCCCATTACTGCTGGGGCTGAAGTGCCATGTCCAGCGCTCCGCAGGTGGGGTAGAGCTTCGCAGCTGCCTGGCTCCGTGACTGGAGCTGGAGTACCGCAGCTGGGACAGAGTTTTGCAGCCACCTAGCTCGGTGGCTGGGGCCAGAACTCCCTGGCTGCTGCTGGGACTGGAGTTCTACAGCTGTCACTGGGGCTCCCAGCTGAGTTGCTGGTGCCCCCTTTGGCACTTCTACCCCGCTACCAGACCTCCTTGTTCTTGGGCTCTGTGATCCAGGACCATCCATGATCGGTGCCAGACAATGGATGTTGCTGGACCAGGAAGTCCCAGTTAAGGGAGGTACAAGCTGTATTGGTTGTTTAAAAAGGGATATTCCAAGACCAAAAGTGTTAAAATAGGACTCGGGTTGAGAATATGGTCAATGATTTAGGATAAAGAAAATTACAACCTTAACTGTATCCCATAATGACAGTGATACCATTCAGTAACCACGGTATTACATTGATGGTCTCAGATTAAACTTCTTTGTTGAAATTTCTCTCACATAGTAAGTGGCACAAATAGAAAAGAAGAAACCTACGTGTCTTTTAACAAATTTATCTTGGATTACAAAAGCTAAATGCTGAATCATATGCAGCTATAGCATGATGTCACTACAAGGCAGAGTTACAATGGTTTGGATTTCTTATCTGCACGTTTCCATACTTTTAGCGTCTTTGGAAGAGGAGGATTATGGGTGGGGAGAGGTTAGTTTAACCTTATTTCTGAATTTCTGGGCTTTTACAATGCTTGTTTTGGTAATAAATATAACATATTGGGAAAAAAACCAGGACTATAGAAATTCATGTATGGAATTTTGCTGATGAGACATCATGCTGGCTTTGCCAGTCACTGAAGAAAGTGATTGAAATAAATGGTAAAGACCTGAATACATTAAGAGATGAGATAGGTGTACAGTCATAAAAGATGTATTTGTGTATATGATTAGCCATATCTGTCTGAGCTGCGCATAACATCTATCTGTATTTTTAATATGTTCATTATCATAGTAGCTAGGTAAACTTTAATATTATCTTTCTGAAAATGGACCTAGCCATCTTATTTTGGGGAGGAGGGGAAATATTAAAAAGTGAGTGGAGAGCAGTAAAGTGAGTATTGGAGGGAACTGCTCAAAGGATCATCACCCTTTCCTAAAGGGAGAGGAAAGAAACAGATCAGTGTATTGCATTGTGAAATAAATGACCCTGTGAATACAGGCAGTCCCCGGGTTACGTACAAGATAGGGACTGTAGGTTTGTTCTTAAGTTGAGTTTGTACTTAAGTCGGAACTGGCGTCCAGATTCAGACACTGCAGAAACTGACCGCCAGTTCTGACTTACATACAGAATCAACTTAAGAACCCCAGGCGTCCCCAAGTCAGCTGCTGCTGAAACTGATCAGCAGCTGATTCCAGGAAGCCCGGGGCAGAGCAACTGGGGTGCTGCTAGGTTGGTCCAGTAGTGCCCAGAGCGGTGCTGCAGGACCAATCGGCAGCACCCCAGCTGCTCTGCCCCAGGGTCCACAACAAAAGCCTGGTGTGCTGGGGGAGGGGGGCACACTAGCTGCGCCCCCCCTCCCCAGCAGACCAGGGACACGGGGAGCAAAGCCGCAGCGGCAGCGGGGTGCCGCATCTCTGAGGCTTTGCTCTGGCAAAGCCTCAGAGGCG